ATTTATCCCACATTTTTCTGGCTTACCAAGAAATAGATTGTTGGCCTACTTTGCAAATGCCTTACTGAAGTCTAGGTATAGAACATCCACAGCATTTCACTGATTTAGTCACTTTATCAAAGAAGGCAATAAGGTTTGTCTGGCATGATCTGTTTTTTAACCAACACATAATAAAACAAAACCCTTTTAGGAATCATACTGTTTATTTCTAGGTGCTCATAAATACTCTGCTTAATGACAATTACCAGGACTTTCCTGGCTACTGATGTTAAGATGATTGGTCTGTAATTTCCTGAATCCATTTTTTTTTACTCTTTTGAAGATTAGAACCACAAATTGCCCTTCCTGTCGATATCGTATTTGTAATGTATTTGGAAAGAAATGGCAAATTTTGTTCCAAACTGATTTTAGAGAAAGTTAAAATAAAATTTCACTCTGATCACCCCATATTGATCTTACAGGGATATTGTTGCCATTGTTAACTACTCTCAGGCATCCGAACATGCTGATTTTTTTTATTTAACAATAATTTTTTGAAACAAAAATGTTATAAGCATAACTAGTAAATGATGTGTTTCCTTCAAAAAAGGTAGATGAATTAAACATACCCGTTAAATTATAGAATAAATGTTTGAATTGCCACAAGTCATTTTTGTTCAAGAAACTGCCCAAGGTCACTTGTTGAGATGATAAGACATAGGCAGGCAGGCAAACAGAAGCAGACAGACAGACAGACAGACAGATGATAGATAGATCAGAGAGAGAGAGAGAGGGAGGGAGGGAGGGAGGGAGAGGGATACTTCAGCTTTAGAAGGAAAACCATATGACTTTCATGGGTACCAAGGAAGAAGTGATAAAACTAAACTTACCAGGAGATGCTGTTGGACCACTATCAGCTGGAACAAAAAAGGGAGAATTATAAAATTAAATTCATATTGATATAAAATGCTATTTACTTCAAATGCTGTCAACTCAGTGAACCAGGTGGATGCATCCATAATAACACCAGGAATGTAGAGCAAATAAATCAAATACATTAAAACAAATGCCAAAACTGAAACAATCCTGTCAAATATTTAAATATTTATTGATTATTCAGTTTATAATGGAAAATATGGTAAGCATCTCAATGTTATTTATCAATCGGTTCAAACAACATACAATGAATATTTAACAGCACAAACTGCTGAGGATATTTTGCAACTGACTAACCTTGCCTGGGATATTAGTAAAATTACATTTAATTATTAATTATATAAAAGTTTATTATTAAAATTAATTAACATTAAAATTAATTAAAAGTAAATAAGTAAAAGTAATTTAATTTATAATTTAATCAATTAATTAATTTAAGTAAGTAAAATAAGTAAAATTAACTTAACTTAAATTAATTAATTG